TTATAATCATTTCTTGTCTCCAAAAGTTTGAAAGTGTTTGCCATTACAGAGACGTCCATGCCTGTTTTATACACAATTTTTTTGTTACGTATTCCCATTGACGCTTCAATCGTAATACGATCATCGAATTTCATTAATTTTTTTGCAAGGTTTCACTTCGGTAATCTTGAATATTGTTACGAGCTTGAGGTTCGTGACAATAAAAATTGCCGATAAAATTACCTAAATTAACACTTTAATTTACTTTACACAAATTAAAACTAAAAACACTAATAATTAAACACACTAATTCACTTAATTCCGCTCCGAAGCTTCGCTTGTGTCGCCGAGTTCAACTCTGCCTCGATCGCATCTTGCAGCGCCTATTTATATAATTAGCAAAGAAGCGTCCCGAACATTCACGTAAATGCGCGCCAGGCAACGAGTATTCGAGTGTAGATTTTCCAGAAACTTAGTTCTTCGGGTGGCGCTGTCGGTCGAAAGATTTGTGATGTCATTTTCTCAATGCTCCCCTCGCTCTCGTTCCTGACACTAGATGGCGCTAGTTTATCGTCGACTTGAGCGCGTAACAATATCATCGAAATCAATTTCATGATTTCCAAACTCTAACAATAAAGCTTGGTATCTTAAAAATAATTAAGCCAAGTACATAACCTTGTTGTTTTCAATTATTTCTGTTTCAATGAAATTCGATATAGATTGAAAGGCCAACTGATGTAACTATCTATATTTACTATAGTTGGAATGGGTAGATTCTTCCGTGGAACGCTTATTTTTCGATTGATAAACTGGGTAACAAGGCAGATGGTACGCGATAGTTTGATGTTGAAGTTTGGAGAGAATCACCGAATCGCCAAAATTTTGCGCTATATTTTTTATCTGTAGTGGTACTTTGTCATCATTAGGGACAGTAAGATTGACCAGCTTCTTCCCAAATCTCTTTTGTTTGTGGTCACAAAAAAGGCAAATAATTTTGCTTGATGTCGATGCTGTTTATGTTGACTGCTCCTAAAAGAATTAAATCATTCTTTGAGTATAAATCGATGAAAATAAATATAATTGAAAATACAAGTTCAATTAATAGATTTTCATATCATTTTTTTAAAAAAGCTTAAAAAAATATTTTATTACCTTGTCAAAGTCCCCAGAAGTTTGGGACGGGTCTTCAACATTACTCGTTTCATCTTCAGCAACTGTAGCACAGGAATCAATACTAGGGTTCAACTGTTTTGATTCTTCTTCAGTAGTAGATACATTGGTATGCTCGTAAAAAAATTTTGCGATTAAATGAAAATGTTTGATATATAAATTTTATAAACTTTTTGATAAGAATAGTTGATTGAAAACATCCTCATTAATTGTTACAAAAAAAAAAGGAAATCAGATCATTTTCTTGTTTAATTTATAAATTACCGTTTTTAAGTAAATTACAAAAAAAATATGTGTGTTGAAAATTAACAAAACCATAGGTGAATTTTGCTAACAATTATTTAAACATGAAAAAAATATAGAAGATGTATTAGCTAAGATAATTTTAAAGATTCAATTTTTTTTTATATACTTACTGTATATTCAGCACTAAAATTAAGAAATTCTTCGTTATATTTTTTATTCAAAACGATCACTTTTTTGTAGCACGTGGTATGATAACCTACAAATTGAAGAGACGCACTGGGTACTCAACAAAATTGTATTTAAAGTGTTTTTTTTTTACGAAAAGCTAACTTTAATACACATAATAGTTTTTAAAAGTGTTTCATCATTAAAATCAATTATTTAATCATCCGATCCACACAAAAACCACTTTTTTGCCATTTTTTCCAACAATAAATAGTAGCACGTTTTTTCAATTGTATTTATAGCGACACTCTACTCCAAAATCATGCATAGTATACGAGTCTATCGCTATCCTTTTCTTTTCCAAGCCCAAATAGCATGCGCACTCTCTTTCTTTAAGTGGGCGGACTTTAAACAGCTGCTATGCTGTGTCCTCTTCTATCGCATGGGATGGTCGGTTGGGACCTTTCAGTCACACACATTCACTCGGAGCAATATTTTACTTTTTAAAATTCGACAACCGCAATTCTGGACTGATTTTTCACAGGCAACCCTATACCACCGTGTTCAGAATAAAATAATCTTTAATTTCATTTAAATTTTATTAAATAAACAGACCGTTGCAAAATGCTAGTACAGATTTACCTGTTTATACCTGGCAACCCTATAGTTGTGACCGGAAAAGAATAGGCAACCTAACGTTAGCATATTCTATGGGCTTCATACTTTCGATTGGTATAGAATTTATCTAATAATCATACCGGTGAAATGTTTAAAAAAATAATTTTTTTTAATTATTAATTAAACATACTCTGGACTGAAATTTGCTAGGCAACCCATATGGATTATATTTATTGACATATTAAATTAAATATAAAATACGTTTCATTAAATAAGCATCTCGGTGAAGGTCGTTTTATATCGGGATCTTATACTATCTGTTATTTGTTTCTAAAAAAAGATGCGATTTTTAGATTTGGGTTATTTTCTAGTATTTATAAACAACGTGTCTGTACCCGTAAATGAATGTGAAGAAGAATTTATTTTAACTTATTTTGTTATAATTTTATTCTATATATATATATATATATATATATATATATATATATATATATATAATGTGTATTGGTGTACAATAAAGAATATATTGATTGATTGATTCATTGAACATTTGCCGTGTAGTAGCGGTGGAAGAATATCCACTACCCAATATTATCCCGTGGGTGTCGTAAGAGAGACAGAGGGAGAGGAGTTTAGAGAGTGAGGAGAAAATCTTCAAAAAGACACCGGTCCAGTTTTTGTAAGATCTGTAGTGTGGGATTTTACCCACTAAAACCTCCTCTCTCTTAAGTACCCAGGACTACGGGACCGCGTTAGCATTACTTCATGGTGCTAGTACTCCTCCTCATCGCTTCTTAACGCGACTACTCCTCCGTTTCTTCTTCTTTTTCCTCCTTTTTTTTCTTCAGCAGGACCTCCCTAACATGTCATTTGTTGCCAACATCTAAGGGACGATCTCTTCCGGTCTCTGAGGCACCCTTTTCTCGCTCTGCCGGCGTAGCCGTGTTTCAGACCAGCGCTGACAGACAAAGAAGGTGTACTCGGTGGAGTCGACAATGCCCGGACAGTACACGCAATCAGGAACATTTCGGATTTTCATACGGTGTAAGTAGGTATTGAACTGTCCGTGTCCAGTAAGGAATTGTGTAAGGTAAAAATCTAACTCTCCATGTTCCTGTAGGGCCCAGTCACGGGCTTGTCCAATAAGCCTATGAGTTCAACGCCTTGCCAAAAACCTTGCGTTCTCGAGTCCTTACGTACATCAATGGTTCCTCGCCAGCACGCCGAACATCCTAGATTCGCTTCCTCTTGAATCCCAAAAGTTTTTGAATTTAAAATTGATTTTTGAATTGAGATTGTACAAGAGATGACCAACACTGCTGCTTTCGATACCGTTCGATAGGCACAGGCTGTCCTCAGTGCACCCCTAAGTTGTACCGACGCAAGTATCTTCCGATTTTTTTTATTTTAAGTGCGTCTCCCCAGACCTCTACTCCGTAGAGCATGATCGAGTTTGCGACACTCATGAGAACTTGTCTGCGGCTTCTCCTTGGTCCCTCGATATTTGGCATTAATCGAGAAAGTCTCGCCACCGTCGTTGCTGCTTTTGTGGCTACACTGATAATCTGCGAAACGTTAGTGAGTCCATCGTCACCCGAACCCCCTCTCGATGTGTTGATTCCCGAGCATACAAACTTGTGTGACCAACACCCCCTAAACAAAACACATTTTTTACATTGATTTTTGCCGCGACAAGTCTCGCCAACTGTGTCCATGGCTCTTGCAAGGTAACCCCAAAACCCCAGGATTGGGGAGACAGAAGAAAACAAAAGAAAAAAAAAACCAAAGTCCCAAACCAAGCCCTGTGCCGCTCCCCCACTTAGCTCCTGCGTGATCTCTCCCATAGTTGTTTCAAATATCAAAAAACGATTACATAGGTAATCACTTATGATACGGATGAGATACTCAGAAAAACCTAATTTTAGAAACGCCTTCACAATGTCCGTCCATTTTGCGGAATTAAATGCATTTTTACATCAAACGTCATTATGCACACGGGACTGGACCTCATGATGCCCGATCAGGCAGCCCTAACAAATAAAAGCGCTTCGGAAATGGCACCAATTGTAATGCGATCTGCGACCCGGTCGAAAACCATGTTGGTTATCGTCCAGGCCACCCGCATCGGTTATTCCTTATAAGTCTCTCGAAAATCTTTCCTGCTACGTCCAGTATACAAAGTGGCCTGTAGGATGAAGGCGTGTAGGGTGGCCCCTTTTCTTTATCTAACAGGACCAACGTTTGAACTCTGATCTCCATCAAACATCAACCGTCAACCCTCTTTCGGAAATCAGCTATTGGCTTGTTTAGGGTGAAGTAACACGACACGTAGGAAAGTGCTGGCGTTGTAACCCATACAATGCCATCTCTTGATCCACTGTCTTTCACAGGAAAGCAACCCCCGGTCCGATATCCAAATAGCTGCTGTTCCGGAAGGGTCACACAGCCAGGTTGACCCAGACACTGAGTGATATTGATCCGAAAACAAAACAATATCCGCTCTGTGGTCGCGGTTTCATGCAAGTAGTAGATCAAGATCGAGTCTGAATCGCTGAAAGTTTGCTTGTAGCACCTTAACTCCTTTTCTTTTGGAGCCCCTCCCAAAAGGAGTCACAGAATCAACAAAGAAAGTACCTATCACGGGATCTGAGGATCGCCCGTTTCCTACCGCTGCACAGAGATGGCAGCACGGAGGTTTGGTACAGACCTTTTGACTGATGACCCGCCTCCCCACATCGCCAGCAGTAACCGCTGCGGTCCTCGTTTGCCCTGCACGAGCCCGCAAAGCGGCCCAATCCATGGATGGAATCGGTAGCACCGGTCTAGTCACTCCCAACGGCAGACTCGACAGTTCGACCAGCCAACCTTAACCCTTCCCAATGTCTCCAAAGCCGCAGCGGCCTCGAGTCCAGCCTCGATATATATGCGGACGGCTCCCCATTTATTGGGTTGGAAATTGTCACTTTGAATCCGTCTACGCCTTCACCAATATCCCTTCTCAGGGCCTCCTTGACCTCTTCAATAGTGGTGGCTGCGTTCAGCCCGTCTATAACCACCGTAGTGGTAGGGACGAGATGGCGTACCTCTACGTCACCGCCGGCTGACTCGGTGATCTTGTTTCCAAGTATGGAGCGATTTTTGACAGATCCCTCGAACTCGATAAGAAGACCACCTTTCCGGGCTATCCTTATGGCTTTTACTGCTGCGCTCAAATCCTCCGGTTGAAGCCCCGAGCGCAGAGCCTTCAGAACTTCATCAGAAGATTTGCCCTCACCTGGGTTTATCAGCACTGCCTCCGGTCATTGTTTTCTCCTCGGCTTCTGGTTCTCTTTGGATGTTGTGGTCCGTTGCATTCCTGGTCTTCGTCTTGTTGGTTTCGTCATCGTTTTCCGGAGCTTAAAGAAAACGGAGCTTTTGGCAGTTCTGGCTGTTTAGCTGCAACTCCATCTCTGTCGTCTGCTGCTTTTACTGTCTTGGCTGCTGCTGCTGCTGTTGTTGTTGTTTATGTTTTGCAGCTTTAATTTCAGCCCCGCTTGTATTCTCAGCAGTGCAATTCCTCTTGCTTTTTGAGACGACATTTATTTCGCCGTTATTCCCCTATACAACATGTTCTTCGGGACTTTGTGATGGATTTGGTGACAGCCTCTTGTTTTCCGTATTGTCCTGCGTTCCCTCCGCTTCGTTTTGGGAAATCTTTATTTTACGATCTACATTGCGTAAAACCAGCTTCTCCATCGCATTTTTAGAGATTTTTTTTTCTGCGCTTCTTTCCACTCTTTTCTGTAGACAAAGGACTCGAGAAGTAACCTTTGAACGTCCTTCACACCTTTCGTAACCTTCGTCGCTACTGTATGCTTAGTTTTAATAATGCTTAGCGTTTCCTTAACTACTTCTTCTAGCTCTCCTAGTAAACGATCTTCTTAGTTGATCGTCGTGTTTTACCTCTTCTACTGGTACGTTCGTCGTTTCGACTCTCTCTCTGCTGTCTTATCTCCTTATTTGTTTATTAAATTTGATTCTTCCATACGTTTCCCAAGAGCATGCTCGGATGTAAAAATCCGTCGTCACAGAGCCAGCATGTGGCGATAAGGCGACTTAAATACAATGAAGTGGCGCCAGGTGCTCCAAGGGAAATCGTTTGCGACAACATTCTGCTATCGGCACGATAGCTGAATGGCAGCTAATTATCTTTATACCTTAGCTTGGGCACATGGTTTTTGAAGAGGTTTTCCTTCCTCTAAGCTTGTCCGCGGCATGTTTTTTGAAGAGTTGTTCCAGTAATTCCGCAGGTCACTCCCCGTATCAGCCTTACTAACCCTTTCCGCCATTGTGCAGAATATCATTTGATGATACTGTTCGCAGGCAGGCCGGGCCATTCCCATATCCGCAACCCGGGAACGCACTCGGTTGGTGCTTAGCCTTGTTCTCTGCATCCATTTATGTTAAGAGAACACCGAGATATATACATGCATACATATATATATATATATATATATATATATATATATATATATATATATATACATACATACATACGCCGTGTAGTGGCGGTTGAGAATATCCACTACCCCATATCTTCCCGTGGGTGTCGTAAGAGGCGACAGAGGGAGACAGGCAGGAGATGGGCAGCAGCATCTTTCTGATAACAACTGTGTTATAATAAAAAACTGCGGTTGCCAACCCGCTCGCCAAGCGTGGCAACTATGGCAAATATCCCCCCATGAATAACGACGCAAAAAAACGGCCCCCAGTCCCCGGCGGCCCCGCTATTCCTGGCTACGGTGGCGACCATGGTAACGGCGGGGCAGGGGGTGCTAAGAATCTCCGGTGGAGGTTCGGTTGCCCCCTACGACGACTCGACCTGGCAACATATAACGCACGCTGAGGACTGACGAGAAGATACTGGAGCTGGAAGAAGAGGTAGACAAGTTGCGCTGGCATATTATTGGATTATCCGAGGTCCGAAGAGAGGGGGAGGATATGGCAATCCTCGAGTCCGGCAACTTGTTCTACCACCGGGAGGGCGACCATCTGTCCCAAGGAGGTGTCGGATTTATCGTCCACAAGTCTCTCGTCAACAACGTTGTAAAGATTGGGAGTGTGTCGACGAGGGTCGCGTACCTGATACTCATACATCCTCAGAATCACCAAACGGTATTCGCTGAAGGTCATACAGATTTACGCACCAACCTCGGCACATCCCGATGAGGAGGTGGAGGAAATGTATGAGGATATTTCCAGAGCCATGCATTCCTCCAAAACCCACTACACGGTGTTGATGGGAGACTTCAACGCAAAACTAGGCACAAGAGAAAGCGGTGAGCTGAAGGTGGGGAAATTTGGAGTAGGGCAACGGAACCGAAGGGGCCAGCAGCTGGCCGACTTTATGGAGAAAGAGGGACTCTTTATGATGAACTCTTTCTTCCAGAAGCGGCCCCACAGGAAGTGGACCTGGTCGAGCCCCAACGGTTCGACAAAAAATGAGATTGACTTCATTATGTCGACCAGACGCCAACTGTTCAGTGATGTCTCAGTGATCGCAAGGGTGAAAACTGGCAGCGATCACCGAACGGTTAGAGGCACACTGAACCTAAACGTTAAGTTGCAGAGGTCTCGTCTAATGAAGTCAACGCTCCGTCCCCCTCGTGCTCTAATCCAGAATCCCGAAACCTTTCAGCTCGAGTTACAAAACCGCTTTCAGTGCCTAGAGGATTGCAATGCAGTGGACGATATGAATGACAAGCTCGTGGAAACTGTCCATGCGGTCGGAGCTAAGTTCTGCAAGACCCGCCGCAGAAGAACAAAACTCTCCGATCACACTCACCACCGCGTATTTAATCTCATGGCTGTTAGACGGGAGATGAAGCTGCAATCGTCAACAGATTTGACAGCATACAGGCAACTGAACAGACAGATCTCCAAATGCACGCGGCGGGACTTACGCAATTTTAATACTACTCGTATTGAAGAAGCGATCGAGCGGAACCAGGGCTCCAAAGTCTTTGCCAGAGATCTGTCTGCCAGAAAGAGCCAACTGTCAAGGCTGAAGACTGAGTGTGGCAACATCGTTTCCGGGACACCTGAGATTCTGAGTGAGATTGCGAGCTTCCACGGGCAGCTGTACACATAATCGTTGGAGCCACACGCAAGTGTGAGTAACGATCCAAGAGCAAGTCTTATCCGATACTATTCCGATGATATCCCGGACGTCAGTCTGAGCAAGATTAGAATGGCTCTCCACCACCTTAAAAACAGCAAGGCTCCGGGCGAGGATGGATTTACAGCGGAGCTTCTGAAAGCGGGTGGAACACCGGTACTTGAAGTCCTTCAGAAGCTCTTCAATTCCGTCCTCCATGGTGGCACTACTCCGGAGGCGTGGAGCAGAAGCGCGGTGGTCTTGTTCTTTAAGAAAGGCGACAACGCTCTCTTGAAGAACTACAGACCGATTTCCCTTCCGAGCCGCGTCTACGTGCTGTTTTCGAGAGTCATTACGAATCGTCTCGCACGCAGACTCGACGACTTCCAGCCTCCCGAACAAGCCGGTTTCCGCAAAGGCTTCAGTACCATAGACCACATACATACCCTTCGGCAAATTGTACAGAAGTCCGAAGAGTACAATCTGCCACTTTGCCTGGCGTATGTGGACTATGAGAAAGCCTTTGATTCCGTCGAAATTTGGGCGGTGCTACAGTCTCTTCAGCGGTGCCTAGTTGACTGTCGGTATATTGAAGTGCTGAAGTGTTTGTACAGTAGGGCTACGATGGCTATCCGAGTACAGAACCAGAGTACGAAACCTATCCAACTGCAGAGAGGTGTAAGACAGGGTGATGTTATATCCCCGAAACTCTTCACCGCTGCGTTGGAAGACGTTTTCAAGCTACTGGACTGGAAAGGATACGGTAATAACATCAATGGCGAGTACATCACTCACCTTCGATTTGCCGACGATATAGTCCTTATGGCAGAATCGCTGGAGGGCCTTAGCACTATGCTCAATGACCTCAATGGTGTCTCCCAACGGATAGATCTTAAGATGAACATGGACAAAACAAAGATCATGTTTAATGTCCATGTCACACCTATGCCGGTATTTGTGGGGAGCACTATGCTCGAAGTTGTTGACGAGTACGTTTACCTGGGACAAATAGTCCGACTAGGTAAGTCCAACTTCGACCGAGAGGTCAATCGACGGATTCAACTCGGCTGGGCAGCGTTCGGGAAATTACGACACATCTTCTCGTCAGGTATACCTCAATCTCTGAAAACTAAAGTGTATAAACCAGTGCGTGTTGCCAGTGATGACTTACGGATCTGAGACGTGGTCCTTCACCGCTGGCCGTATGAGGACGCTCAAGGTCGCTCAGCGAGCTATGGAGAGGGCTATGCTCGGAGTTTCACTGCGTGATAGACTCAAAAATGAGGATATCCGCAGCAAAACCAGAGTGACCGACATAGCCCAACGGATTAGTAAGCTGAAGTGGCAATGGGCCAGCCATATAGCTCGAAGAACCGATAACCGATGGGGAAGAAAGGTTCTCGAGTGGCAGCCTCGTACCGGTAGGCGTAGTGTAGAGCGACCCCCCACTAGATGGAGTGACGACCTGGTAAGACATGCAGGAAGTCGATGGATGCAGGTGGCTCAGGACCGTGCTTTGTGGCATTACTTGGGGGAGGCCTATGTTCAGCAGTGGACTTGTGAAGGGCTGTAATGATGATGACATACATACAGGATGTCCCAGAAATCTACGTCAAGCCGAAACTTTCTGATAGGCGAGGCCCTACTAGTTACCAGAAAAATATAAAAAAATCTAAGTCATGTATTTCAGAAATTATAGTAATTTTTTTTTCCCGATAAAATGTACACCATGAGACAGTTTTTTCATTCCTGTTGCTACAAATATTTACTTTTTGCCAATTTTTTTCTCTTACGTCATCCTGAATAGTGCTTCTGTAACCTGTAATCCTAAACCCTGTGCCGATCACTCCAGCTTGAAAGAAAATGTAATTTTATACCGAACCAAGTTTTCAGAATTAGTTTCTCGCACTACTTCAACTGACCGTCCTGGAAAAAACATGTACGCCAGTTTGGCAAGTAGCTTAAAAATTTGGCGCTTTTAATAAGGATTCTAACGTGGCATAACACTTACTTCATTATTTCTCAGATCAGCCATAAAAATTTTTTTGTTACAAAGTCAGTTTTTAACAATTTTTTGGAACTTACATTAAAACGATTCTAGTGCAACCAAAGCGTTCCTAATGACCACAGCGTGGTTTAAATGAGATAGAGAGAAACATTCCATAAAGCGTGAGCTAGACAGAAACTAAAGTAGACACAAACTAAAGTAATAAAATAATGGTTATAAAATTAAGACGGTCAGTTTCGTTTTTATGATAAAATTTATTACTTATTTTACAAAGGATGTTAAAATTGCCGTCATTGAGCTGCAATACAAGCCCGACATCTTCTTAAAAAAGATCGTGAACTGAATCATGCGGACAAATCTTCTATTATTACAAAATTCAACTGCTTCCGCTATTCTCTGTCTAAGCTCTTCTACATTTTCAATCGGCTTCGAATATACTTTTTCCTTCACTGCTCCCCAGTAAAAAAAAATCTAGAGGATTTAAATCGGGTGAGCGGGCGGGCCACGAGATCGGACCAGCCCGCCCTATCCATCTGTCCGGAAATTCCTAGTTAAGGTGTTCTCGAACTAAGTGGCTATAATGCACTGGATAACCATCTTGTTGGAACCAAATATCTCTGAAAATAATAAACGGCACGTCCTCCAGCAAATTGGGTAAATGATTTTGTAAAAAATCTAAATAAATTTCAGCATTTAAAACTTCTGGCCACTCGAAAGGCCCTATGACTTTTCCGTTTAAAATTCCAGTCCACATGTTTATTTTGAAACGGTACTGTGATCTATCATGTCTCATCAATCGTAGATTTTCAACGTGCCATTCGTGTAGATTGTGAAGGTTCATGTAGCTTTTTTATAGGTTGATTCATCCGACCACAAATTTTTTTCTATGAATTGTGGGTCTTCTCGGTGTTTTTGAATCATGGTTTGGCAAAACGCAACCCGAGGTTCATAATCCCGAGGTAATAACGTTTGTACTCGCCGTACATGATAAGGGTGGAGCTCATTTTTTTGTAATTTTCGGTGAGCTATACTTTTGGGCACACCTGTGCTGGCCTCAATTCCACGTACCGAACAACTTCGGTCCGCATTAACTGCTTGAAAGACTACTTCCTCGTAAAGTAATGAAATTCTACCTTCACCATGCATTTGGTTTGGCAGTCGGCCATCAGAGAAGAGTAGACGGTGCACATTGGTAAAAACTCTGTGATCTGTATAGTGATCAGCATTAGGGTATCTCTCGCGATAGCGTCTAGCGGCTTTACTGGCATTACATTGGCATTCCCCATAAATGAG